AATAAAAATCTTCCCTCCTTACCGATAACCCCAAAGCCCCTCCTGGTTTTCTTTAAGTCGGTGACATATAGTTCTCTCAGTCATCCTTGGCTTAGAACCTGAGTCACCCTAGATGATCCCCCTTCCCTCAGTATGCAAGTTCTTTTTTTTTTTTTTGGTACACGGGCCTCTCACTGTTGTGGCCTCTCCCGTTGCGGAGCACAGGCTCCGGACGCGCAGGCTCGGCGGCCATGGCTCACGGGCCCAGCGGCTCCGCGGCATGTGGGATCTTCCCGGACCGGGGCACGAACCGTGTCCTCGGCAGGTGGACTCTCAACCACTGCGCCACCAGGGAAGCCCAATACGCAAGTTCTTTTGCCCTTTCCTTATAAATTTTCTTAGAGCCCCAGATCCCTCCCCTCAATCCATTCCCACTGGCCCACCCTAGTTCAGATCAAGCCGAAACAACTACATTAGCCCCTTAACTAGTCCCCTCCCTCTACTCACCCCTGGCCAATCTATCGTGCAATGTCCACTCAGTATAAGAGTTGGCTCCAGAGGCAGCACATACATACATGAAAATATGATTCACAGTTCAATATATATCAGTAAATGCCAAATTAGTGATAACAGACAAAGGGACAAGAGTTGAGAGAAACCATAGTAGATTTTGAATAAATTCTCCCCCACTACAACATAAGTTCCAGGAAGACAGCGGTGTTTGGTTTTGTTTGCTTGTTTGTTTTTTTAATTGTAGTATAGTTGATATACAATGTCGTGTTAGTTTCAGGTATACAGCACAGTGATTCAGATATAGATATAGATTCTTTTTCAGATTCTTTTCCCTTATAGGTTATTACAAAATATTGAGTATAGTTCCTTGTGCTATACAGTAGGTCCTTGTTGGTTATCTATTTTATATATAGTAGGGTGTACATGTTAATTCCAACTTCCTAATTTATCCCTCCTCCCAGGGGTATTTGGTTTTGCTTTATTTTGTCCATTGCTGTTTCCAGTGCCTCCTAGCACAATACCCGACACATAGTAGGCGAACAATAATTTGTTGAATGAATAAATTAGTGACTTAATAATGGCCATTATTATTATTTCCACCATTCTATAACACCTCAGGACTTCCTCTAAGATGTGAGTTCATTTATACATTTGCTCATTAATTCAACGTCTATTGATGGATGCTACATATGCACAGGATATGATTTATGCCCCAGGGAATTTGTAACCTATCAAGGAGGTAAAACAAGGACAGCTGTGACTACTGTGGTAGTGCCCAGGCACAGCATCAGCTGACTCTCATTCTTTTTTTTAAATTATTGACTTATAGTTGATTTACAATATGTTAGTTTCAGGTGTAGAGCAAAGTGATTCATACGTACATATGTCTGTGTATATATATATATATATATATATATATTCTTTTTCAGATTCTTTTTCATTGTTATTATAAGATATTGAATATAGTTCCCTGTGCTATACAGTAGGCCCTTGTTGTTTATCTATTTTATATATAGCAGTGTGTATACATTAATCCCAAACTCCTAATTTATCCCTCCCCCTCTTCCCTCTTTGGTAACCGTAAGTCTGTTTTCTGTGAGCTGACCTTCATTCTTATCTTCCTCTGCCCCATCTAGTTCAACTGCAGATCCCAGGGAGACCTGCTGGCCTTCACGCCGTGTTAAATAAAATATATAAAAATCATGTTAAATAAAATGATTTTTTTTAATTATTATTTTTTTTGGCTGCGCTGGGTCTTCATTGCTGCACGCAGCCTTTCTCTAGTTGCGGTGAGCGGGGGCTGCTCTCTATTGCTGTGGGCGGGCTTCTCATTGCAGCAGCTTCTCTTGTTGCGGAGCACGGGCTCTAGGCGCGTGGGCTTCAGTAGTTGTGGCACGCGGGCTCAGTAGTTGTGGTTCACGGGCTCTAGAGCGCAGGCTGAGTAGTTGTGGCAACGATGCCCCGCAGCATGTGGGATCTTCCCGGACCAGGGATCAAACCCATGTCCCCTGCATTGGCAGGCGGATTCTTAACCACTGTGCCACCAGGGAAGTCCCAAATAAAATGATTTTATTTAACATTTCCCTATTTGGGGACCTTGAAGTTATTTCTAGCTTTTCACCGTGATAACGACACTTCTACAGGCTTCCTAGTGTACCTTGTTATTTCCTTAGTATAAAATCCTAGAAGCACAGAGGTGAGTCAAAGGGTTTACACTTTTTAAAAATTTTCATAGGTATTGCCAAACTTCCCTTCAGAAATGTTACACGAGAGTATGCCCAGCAGCTGTATGTTTCTCAGCACAAGGGCCAAAGCTGGGTGTTGCTGTTCTTTTCTACCTTTGCCAATCTGATAGATGAAAAATGGTATCTGTGCTGTTTCAATTTGTATTTCTTCGAGGTTGATGGGTATGGTAGGTTGATGATGGCTCACTCCCAAAGATCAGTGCACTAATCACTGGGACCTGTGAATATCACCTGATAAGGAAATGGGGTCTTGGCAGGTGCGATTATAAGGAAATGGGGTCTTGGCAGGTGCGATTATAAGGAAATGGGGTCTTGGCAGGTGCGATTATAAGGAAATGGGGTCTTGGCAGGTGCGATTATAAGTTAATGATCTTGATGGGGAGATTATCCAGGATGATCTGGGTGGGCCCTAAATGACATCACAGCATCCTTCCTTGTAAGAAGGAGGCAGAGAGATTTGACAAAGACAAACGAGAAGGCCATGTGACCACAGAGGCAGAAAGGAGTGATGAGATTGCAAGAATGCCGGCAGCTACCAGAAGCTGGAAGAGGCAAGGAGTATATTCTCCCTGGAGCCTCAGAGGGAACATGGCCCTGCCAACACCTTGATTTTGATTTAGTGAAACTCATTTCGGACTTCCGGCCTCGAGAACAGTGAGAGAATACATTCCTGGTGCTTTAAGCCGCCAAGTTTGCAAGTGATTTGTTACAGCAACCATGGGAAACTAATACGATAGGTTTTTCACATGTTTATGGACCACATGAAAAAATCCTTCTGACTTTCAAAAACTTGTAAAAATGAAATATCATGCAATAACATGAACAGTATAATTCTATTTTCGTGAAAGTAAACCTGAATATTTGTATATGTGTTTACAGGTGTACACAACTGCCTAAGATGTCTGGGAGGATGTACATCAGACTAGTAACAGTGATTAACTGGAGGGAGGTGTGGGAAGGAGGTGGGGGGAAGAGAAACTTTTAGTTTTTTCTCAAGATGCATCTCTATTGTTTGAAGTTTTATGAAACTATATTCATGTACTAACTGTGTGAAAATATAGATAAGTCACATCTGCTTGCTGTAAACAATAAAATATGTAGAAAGTAGAAAACAAAACTGTCCCTCTCCTCTCAATTATCCCCCTTCCCAGAAATATTTGATAATAATTTGGCGTGCGTCTTCTCAGGCTTTCTTTCCATGAAAAAGTAAACACAGGTATGTCATTTTTAGAGAACAAAAAAGAAGAGTGAGTACCATATACATTTTCACTTAAGGGTGTTTCTCCAAAATCATTTTAGGATCCTTACGTTCAGGGGCCTCGTTCTCCTGAGCTGGTTGTTGCACAGACTCTCACCGTAAGAAAGTCCCAGAACTCTTTTTTTTACCAACCTCCCTGCTGCTTTGAACTTTCTTGTATCTGTGAATTTGACCATACGTATACACATCGCTGGTAGAACTCCTCTGCAAGTCGCGTTTAAAATAGTTTTAAGTACTCCCATTCTGCCTTCCAGTCTGCCTTTTAAAACGGACGCTCCCACCAGTAGTTCCCCACTATGGAGGACACAAGATCCACTTTTTCAAACTTTCCTGAACTGGGTGGAGAGATGATATTTTAACGTTATCACAGGAGGCATTTCTTTAAGCATGAGGCTGGTCGGGCATTTTTCATACGTTCATTGGCTCTCGAGGCAGCTTCGTGAACGCTTCAAAGGTCACTGGGCAGACAATCTTCCTTCGCAACGAACCAAATCCGAATTCTTTCTGAAACCAAGACCGTGAGTTATTCGATTAAGGACCTAGTCCGGAACTATGGGGCGAAGGTGATCTTTGGGATTTCAGCCTGGGTGACTCTGGACACCTGAACAAAGTCGAAAACATGAACTGGGGCGGGGGGCGCGTTGGAACCCCACAGGAAAGAGGAGCGGGAGGCCGCCCGGCATATTCCGGGGTGCCATACATTTCCCCAATCCTGTGCCCTACGCAGCCGGCGAGGGCGACCAGGCCGGGAGGGACCCAGCGCTGCGAGGTCTCCAGGCACTGAGAGTGTCCCCGGCGGGTCTGTGGGTCCGAAGCTTTCCCGCAGGGGGCAGTGCCGCCCGCCGGCGCGCGGATCCGGTGGGAGGGGGTGTGGAGCCGGTGCGGAGTTCTGGGGGCTCTCGGGAAGAAAGTTAGGGGATGCCTAGGGGTGGGGGCGGGACCCGAGCGGTCGGCCGGAGGGTGGGGACAGGGCCGCGGGGGTGCAGGGTAGGGCGCGGGGAGGGGGTCTGGGCGAGTCTGGGCGCGAGGGCGGTGCGAGCTGCGGGGAGGCGCAGCCCCGGAAGGTGTGAGCGAGCGGCAGGCGAGTGTGAATGCGAGTGTGTGCGCGCCGGAGCTCTCCGGGTTCTGTGAGGCGCGCGGGTGTCAGCTTGCAGCAGGGCTCCTCCCTCCGGCCCCCCTGGCCCGCGCGCCGGTCCCTCCTCCCTTTCCCCGCTCGCCCCTCCCCGGCGGGCCAGGCGCTGGGACACCCCGGCGGAGCAGGCGGCGGCGGCAGCGAGTTGGGGAGCCCCGGGCTCCGCGCTGCCGGTGGGGCCCGAGCCGAGCCGCCCCCGCCCCGGCCCGGCCGCGCCGGCCCAGCTTCCCTCCGGGCCACGCCCTGTCAAACTTTGTTGCTGCGGCCGCCGCGGCGGCGAGCGGAGCGGGCCGGCCAGCGGGAGGGAGGGAGGGAGGGGCGGGCGCCGGGCCGGGCGCGGGCGGCGAGGGGCTCCGAGAGCGGCGGCCCCGGCCCGCGGCCCCACCATGCCCCAGCTCGGCGGCGGCGGCGGCGGGGGAGGCGCCGGCGGCGGCGGCTCGGGCGCCGGGGCGGCCGGCGGAGGGGACGACCTCGGGGCCAACGACGAGCTGATCCCCTTCCAGGACGAGGGGGGCGAGGAGCAGGAGCCGAGCAGCGACAGCGTCTCGGCGCAGCGGGACCTGGACGAAGTCAAGTCGTCCCTGGTCAACGAGTCGGAGAACCAGAGCAGCAGCTCGGACTCGGAGGTGAGGAGGCTTCCGCGGCCGCCCCGGGGGACCCCAGCCCCGCGCTCGCTCACCCGCCTTTGCCTTTGTGTCTCCTCCGTAGGCGGAGAGGCGTCCGCAGCCCGCCCGGGACGCTTTCCAGAAGCCGCGGGACTATTTCGCCGAAGGTAAGTGCCGGCCCCGGCAGCCCCCACTCCCGGCCCCGCGGCGTTCGGCGCCTCATCTGCGGCCGATCTCGGTACCCCTTACCCCCGTGGCCGTGCCCCTGCTCTCCGCCCCTGTCGGCCTCAGCAGTCCTGGGGCGCGCGTGGGGGGCGCTCGGGTCCCCGGTCCCCACTCCGGGTCCCCAGCCGCGGCGCTGTCCCGGGGACCCCGACCTTACCCCCTCCTTGGTCTTGCCCGCAGTGAGAAGGCCCCAGGACGGCGCGTTCTTTAAGGGTCCCCCCTACCCTGGGTACCCGTTCCTGATGATACCGGACCTGAGCAGCCCGTACCTCCCCAACGGACCCCTGTCTCCGGGAGGAGCGCGCACGGTGAGTGCCCGTCCCGCTGCGCCGGGGCGGGTGGGCGGCCGGGGCCCGCGAGATGCGCCCCCGGGCTCGGCGACAGGGTGGGGGATGGGGGATGGGGCCGTCCCGTGAGGATCCTGGGCAGAACTTGCTTGCGGGGTTGAACTACTCTGGCGGTCGAGGGTTAGGCTGCGCTAGGCAGTGCCTGCATGAAAGGAAAGTGCCTTTACATGCTCCCCTTTTGCTGGGGAGAGGCTTTGGGGTCCACTTCTGGGGTCCTCCTTGGTCTCCAGAATTCTTTGCCCGCACTAAAGGGAAACTTGGATTTGTGCCGGTTGGGCGGGGGTGTGTGTGTGTGGGGTCTCGCTTCCTTCCTGGAAATCGGTCAGCTTTCCCTGGCAGTTGGGCAGTGGGGCCGGGGGAGCAGGGTTGGCGACGCTGTCCCACGACTCCAGTTTCGCTGGGCGGCTGTGAGTTCGTTCCTAAGAAACCCAGTATTCGTGGCGGGTTATTCACACACACCCCTCCTCAACCCCAGCCCTCGCGCGGGGGCCTCAACTTTTCTGTAGAGCTCGGGATTTTAAACTCGCCGAGATGATTTCGAGGGCGAATCGAGGCATTCTTCAAGTTGAGGAACTTGGCTTTTTCGCCCTTTGTTGCCGGCTTTTCTCATTTAAAGCGAGCGCTGCGACACTTTAAACCTGTTAATGGGCGCGCATTGTGTGCTGCGCGCTGGCATTTAGAGCTGTGATTAAGCAAATTGACCGGGCCCCAGACGACGTGCAAATGAGGGCGGATTCCTTCGCCCCCTCCCTGGCTCTAACTCCCGCCCCCCGCGTCGCGAGGGGCACAGCCCGGGGCTGGCCAGGCTTTTTTGTCCCCTGAGTTACCACCCCACCCGAGGGCCCGCTGCCCAGGTGCTAGGTCCAATGGCAGATCTTGGGTGAACACCTGCCTACTATGCGCCAGGCTCTTGCGCGCTGCTGCTTGGGCGCCCGCACGCCGTAGTGGTTCACTTTGCTCCCTGCCCGGTTTCCCAGTGCCCGCCAGTTCGTGCTGTTTTGATTCGGGGTGGAAGGTGTTTGGCGTCTTAAGAGCTGACCCGACAAACTCACTTTATGCTCAAGTTGTCCTTAAATAATAATCATAGTTAAAGGGCTGCCTGGGAAACGCTGGTGCTGAATGGACCATCCCTGCCGTCATGGTACAGTGGTCGGTGGAGAGTGGAGACATCTGCCGCCGGTTCAGTGGGGCCGCTCTGCCGGCCGGTTGGGGTGTGGGAGTGGAGGTTGGGGACTCTGGCCAACCGAGAGCAGAGTGGAGCCGCACAGCCCTCTCCTTTCAAGCAGGGAAGACCCTGCACCTTTGGCCCTGCCTTGGTGCATCCTGGGAACTCCCGAATGTAAGTCCTGAATATGAGCTGGATACTGGCATCAGGCTGTTGCTTTTTCTCATTCATGTTAAAAGAAAAATGTGTGAGTAAAAGTTGAGCAAAACAAACTGCAGTAACATCGTTCAGGTTTTCACAGATTCTTTTCCGTGTCCGCAGATGTGGCTCAGTTCTGAAAGTTTTAGTAGGGTTTCTGTACGTGTGTGTGTGAAAAGGTAGGTCACTACACTATCAGAGTCCCTTTTCTCCATTTTACCTTTAGTTGTCTGGGAAAAGGAGTTTGGCATTTCTGTGAGTCAGCACCGATCCATGTCCTGATGCAGATAAAGTCGCCAGAAATGTTCCAAATATGACTAATTCTTTCACTCAAGCTAGCTATTCCTTTCCCCTTTCTCACCAGGGCATTTTGATTCTTCCTCTTTGAATGGTGACCACTGCCTGTCTTAATATGCTGCTCTTCTCCTCCCCCTCAGGAGCCCAAATGGGACAGATTTTGTTTGTGTCAGTCCCCTTTCTTCTACCATCTTCTACCACCCTTCCTTCTTTCTACCATCTTACATGTACTTTTGCCTAAGAGCTTCCAAAGGCTGCTTCTTTTTGGTATTGGCTATTCCTGATTACTGACTGCATCCAGGCCTGCATGGGATTTTTGGAGCCCTCCTTGAGGAAGCCAGCCTTTCCCCTCTGCATGCTTTTGACTGTCCCTGCTCATTCCTGCAGTTGTTCCCTGCCTGAGCCCATGTCACTGTCCTCCTTTTTGAGCCTCCAAGAACACTCACCCTCTCCCTGTTGATCCTTCATACGGGACCTAGTATGTCCTGCCTCACTCTCCTGTTTCCATCTTGCCTCCCTGATGAATTGCCCTTGCAGAAAAGTAAGTTCAATGCCCCCATTGTTTCTGTGCCCCTTATGTGTCTGTCATTGTATTTTGACCTGCCTGGTTACAAAGTTTATGGAAGTTTCCTGCTGTTAGATCAGCTCAGTAGAACCTGCTAATTTGACTCTATCCTTGGGCGTCAATGACTGTTAGGAAAGCAAGGGAGGAAACACTTAAGCACTTGATTGTCTGGACTGTAGGACTGAGATGATGCTTTTCCTTTGGATGATTATATTAATGTGATTAATGATTATATTAATGTGATACTGTAGGCAAACTATAGGTGCAGACAGAGTGGCCCTCTGTAGGGGTCCCTGCCTGGTAAAAGGAATGTATTGATAGATAGATATGGGGGGGAGAAGGGGGAGGAAGGTGGCTGAAGGGTGAGGGGGGTGGTGGATTATATGATCTGGTCTCTCTTTTAGCAGCCTGAGTCTTTTTTGGTTTCATATCTAAGTTTCACAACCTTAGTCCTTGCTGCTCTAAGGCCTATATGTGGTATAAAATTGGGTGACCTTAGTTCTCTTATGCCCTAACACTTTCTGGAAATACCAGGCCAGAGGCAAACGTGAGGTTTGGCTGGAGTGTTCTCAGGGTATTAATTGACCCTAGGAATAGTATTAATTGACCCTAGGAATAGCAACAGGGCTGCAGCACCCTCACCCACTGGCAAAATTCCTTCTGGGACGACTGGGGGCCGGCCAGTCCTCCAGTCTGGCCATCTCCTCCCCATTCATTACCTTTGCCCTCCACTCTGGTTTGGCTGGGAGGCTGGGAAGTGGCCTCTTCCTGAGGCTCTTTAGAGAAGAGGTCCCCTTAACCCGGGGTGTGTGCCAAGCCTCCGAGCCGTGATTCATTCTCATCTGGAGCTCTGGGGACCCTGTGGCCTGTGAAGAGAGGAATAACGGCCACAAATCACTTTTCACTCCTTCCAGTAGTCACACGAAATTATACATTCATTCATGAAAAGGCTTCACCGGTTCACTAAACCACCTTGGTGCTGTTGACTAGAATTTGGTTAGGAAAATGTAAGTCAGCACAGAAGAAAGCAGATGTCAGAAATAGGACTAATCAGAGCCACAAAGAAAATGCAGCGTGTGTTCAGCGAGTGAGCAGCAAAGTGATAGGCGTGGGACCGTGACCACGGTGTGAGTGCTAATGACATTTTGGAAAAGAGCACTTGCAGGTAGGGTTGCTGAGGAAATCTATAGTTTTGGGTCCAGTGTATAAATTTTAGAGCTGCCTTTGTGCAGCTCAAGCACCAAGTTATTCATAGATTTCTCAGACCATCACAACTCAGATTTCTGTAGGAAATTACTCTGTCCTCCAAACAAGTCCTTCGCATCCCACTGCTTCCCATGGGCAGTCCTGCTGATATCCTGGGTGCTCCTGTTTTCCTTCCTGACACAAAGGAGTCCAAGCAGAAATCTTTGTGTACGTATAGAGAAGTTTTCTGGTTTTTAGGAGTTGTATGTAAAAGCCAAGTATTGATAAAACCTCTTCTTTTGGAAGATCAGTATAAACATGCTGCTTTTGGGAAAGTTCTTTTAAGCCATTTCATCTAAATATAACTTCTGTTCTATTTTTCTCTAAATATAACTCAGGGTTTAATGAGGGCTTTTCACATGGAATGAGCATTTACGAGGGCCCTGCCTGCGTTGCTGAAGTTTTGGCACTTAGATTTCTGGGGTGACAATTGATGACAAACTCTGTGGAGGGACTCAAACCCTGTCAGTCCTTTTTCTTTGGGTGGGTGGATCTGACAGAGAATACCTGCTTGCTCTGTTACAATTTTGGAAAGGTTTAGGTTGGTCTCATTCTTTAGTGATCTTACTTCTGGGGAATCTTGAAAAATAGGCCAGCACATGTACACACACACACACACACACACACACACACACACACACACACACCCCTAACCTTCAATACAGAGTGTTCCAGCCTTTAGAGTGATGTGCAAAGTTACCCAAAAAAATTGTGGCATAAAAAGGAATTTAAATGATTAACTCATTGGAAAATGCATAACGTAAAGATCCTATATTCCAACTTAAGAGTCCATTTTTACTTGCTAAAACTGGGGAAATTCAGATTGGCATCCTTAAGATAAAAGTCATAACGCGGGCTTCCCTGGTGGTGCAGTGGTTGAGAGTCCGCCTGCCGATGCAGGGGACGCGGTTTCGTGCCCCGGTCCGGGAGGATCCCACATGCCGTGGAGCGGCTGGGCCCGCCAGAGCAGCTGGACCCGTGAGCCATGGCCGCTGAGCCTGCGCGCCCAGAGCCTGTGCTCCGCAACGGGAGAGGCCACAACAGTGGGAGGCCCGCGTACCGCCAAAAAAAGAAAAAAAGTCATAACGCCTTGACTTCCTCTGATATTTATTGTAGGCCTATCATGGGCAATGACTAAGTGACTGTGGGAGTTAGGCTGAATTAGACCCAGCTTTGCCCTGAAGGACCTAAAAATCGAGTTAGGAAGAAGTGATGTTAGTACCAACCACTATAACAGGAAGTCCACGTTAAGAGTCAATAGAATTCAGAGAAGAAGTTTCAGAATAAAAAGAATAGAAAAATTGTCTTGGGCTGGCATGGTCAAGGAGGGCAGGTAAAGGAAGTTGTTTTAGACTAGTCCCTGAAACTCATCACTCTTTAATTCAAAGTAATTTTTGTTAACTATAAAAAAATTTAAACAGTACAAAGGTATTTAGAGGGAAAAGCAGAAGTCCTGCACGTACATCTGAAGGTAGAAGCCAGCACAGGGAG